TGCCCCCGACTGTCAAGGGCCGTCCGCCCCGGCCTGCTCCCATGGCGCGAGGAGGTCTGTCGGCGGCGGCTCCGGAAGACATCCCGGGCGCCGCAGGCCCTCTCCGAGCCGGGAACGCTCTGAGAGCGCTCCGGGACGCTCTGGAACGGATTCGTCCCCGTCCTATTAGGGAAACGAGCTCTACACGCCGACGCTTTTTCCGACCCTGCACAGACATTCGCACAGGGACGCGGATCCCGGTGTATACGGGATCCTGGTGTACACATTTCTGTTGCTTCACACCACCTCGACGTCGTTCCCGACCCTCAAAAAAGTCCTGGGATTGAAAAACCGCCCGCCACTGGTAATGTATGTGCTCAAGTTTCCCACTATAGCCCCGTTCGACTTGCCCCTGCTTTTGACTCCGAGCTGTTTTTGCTACGGTCTCGGCCTCGGGTTGGCGGCGAGCGTGGGGGGAAAATGAGAAGGGACGGGCCTTCTCCGAAGGCACGGAAGTCCCCCGGCCTTCTGAGGAGTGTTCTGCGCCTTCCCCGAGGACACGGAGAGAACTATTCAGGAGGCGCGAGGGCTTCTGACAAGCCCCGCCGCCTTCTGAGAAGGCCTTTTCCTTCCCACTTCCCCCGCTCTCTCGCCGCCGAGCCTGGGTGGGTTGAACACCTGAGCGACGAACATAAACGGGCCTTACAATTAGCTCGCGTAAGTTACGCGAGATGACGTAGCGACCTTACGCGGTGGCTCAAGCGGGCCTCCAGCGCGGCACGCTGCACTGGAGACGAGGCGCATACGCGCGACGTCACGCGGGCAGCGGACGCGCGGATGCCGTCGCAGGTGAGCCCGTTGTCTTCCGTCGCTTACCTGGCCTTCCGCAGAAGCCCGCCACGGCCTTCTGTGATTCGACGAGCGCGCTCCACTACTCGCAAAGGAACTACTCGCAAGTTGCCTGGCTTCGCCGCGGGGGATCCACGATGAATTTCATCGATGCAAATCAGTGTTTCTGATGTTTGCGAGTATGGTGGGTTTGTTTTCCACCGCCATTATCATAAGTAGGATGGGGAGGGAATCCTCCTTCTCCTCCTCCTCCTCCTTCTCCTCCTCCTCCTCCTCCTCCTCCTCCTCCTCCTCCTCTTCGTCCTCCTCATCGTCCTCCACCTCCTTCCCCCCTCCAAGTTATGGTGGTGGTGGTGGCGGAAATCAAGCCCATCTCGGCGGTGGACAAACCTCCCTTTAGTAAACCTCCCCCTAGTGAAAACGACCCGGGACCGAAACCGACGGACCTGGACCCGCAACACTGACGGCCGCGAGGCCCTCTCGCGCACCGCAAACGGCCAATTCCTCAATCGACGTGTCAGGGTAGGAGGTCTCTCCATCCCCGACTACTCCTATCCCCCCTATCGTTGCCCCCGACCAATGGCCGTCCGCCCCGGCCTGCTCCCATGGCGCGAGGAGGTCTGTCGGCGGCGGCTCCGGAAGACATCCCGGGCGCCGCAGGCCCTCTCCGAGCCGGGAACGCTCTGAGAGCGCTCCGGGACGCTCTGGAACGGATTCGTCCCCGTCCTATTAAGGAAACGAGCTCTACACGCCGACGCTTTTTCCGACCCTGCACAGACATTCGCACAGGGACGCTCTGGGACGCTCTGGGCCAATTCCTCAATCGACGTGTCAGGGTAGGAGGTCTCTCCACCTCCGACCATCCGCGTAGCCACTTTGCGTGTCGTGGGCCGCGCTCGGTGCTGCCAGTGCTGCTGCCCGGCCCGGCACGTGCGCGTCCTGCTCCTCGACCCGCTCCGGGTCGTCGTCGTTGTGCTCCTGGCGGCGAAGGGGCGCCACCCGCTTCCCTGCGCCCTCCCTCCGCTGCTGCTCCCCCCCCCTCCTCCTCCCTCCACCTCCCTCCTCCCTCCTCCCCCTCCTACTCCTCCTCCTCCTCCTCCTCCTCCTCCTCCTCCTCCTCCTCCTCCTCCCTCGGCCCCGCTCCTCGCCACCACTTCCTCCCGATTGGAAACCACTACAACGGGATCGTACTGGAAGGTTTTACACCAGGAATCCACTTGGAAACCACTGCGACAGGATCTTGTTGGACAGCAGCGGGGTCCGATTCAAATGCGTCACAATGGGAATCCAGTCGGAAACCATAGCAACTGCTCGCGCAGGCCTTCCACTGCCTTGACTTAGGCCTATCATAAGCTTATGCGCGGGCTGTGTGCAAAATAAGACCCCCCAACCCTCGAGCAGGGGGCCGAAGTTAGGAGGGCCAGCAACATGAGGGATGATGCAGTGGTCTCTCCTGCAGAGGTGTCACAGCAGACCGCCAGGAATGATCATCCCTGATGCGAAGACGGGGACCCGAGTTGGGCAACGCATTCATTGTGCTACTAAGCTTGGGGGTTCTATCCGCGATGACTCCTCGCCCCGCTCCTCCTCCTCCTCCTCCTCCTCCTCCTCCTCCTCCTGCTTCTCCTCCTCCTTCTCCTCCTCCTCGATGGGCCGGATGCCCTGCGGGGTGGGGGCGCGCGCGACAGGGGCGGCCGTCGCAGCCCGGCGGGGCCGCAGCGACCCATGGGAGCCTCAACTGTGGACTCCCTCCATACAGTCGGGGGCTTGACCTAAGGAACCCACAATAAGGAACGAGGCCCCTTTTTTCCATGAGTTAACCTTCGATGTCCGATCGAAAACACAAGGAACACCTGAGGCAAGCTGTGCGACACTCAAGGAACACAGAGCCCCCCCCCAACGAACAGGATTCCTTCTTCAGGACCCCTACTGTACACGTGGCTACCCTCTCCCCTCCGGTGATACGGTCTGCTTTGCCGCCGCCCCTCCCGCGTGGTGTTTCCACACAGTGCCCTTCAAGACTTCGTCTTGTGTGTCCGCCGGCGTGGGCCCCGAGTATAGCGACATCAGGCCCCCCCGGGGTATGCAAGCTGTGCGGCGTGCAAGCCGCGCGGTGCGGCCTGTGTGGTTGGTGCAAGCTGCGTGGTGCGAGCCTTTTTTGTTTCACGCGGACCACACACCCAACCTACGCGAGAGGGCGCACAGTTTCTGTGTGGTGCAAACTAAGAGGAGGAGGAGGAGGAGGAGGAGGAGGAGGAGGAGGAGGAGGAGGAGGAGGAGGAGGAGGAGGAGGAGGACAAGGAGGACAAGGAGGAGGAGGAGAAGGAGGAGGAGGAGGATAAGGAGGAGGAGGAGGAGGAGGAGGATAAGGAGGAGGAGGAGGCAAACTGTATGGTACAGGCAGGCGGTGCGGTGCAAAAACCATGTGCTGTGATCCATGGGCCGCCCACGGCGGGGCACCAGCCGAGGCCCCGAAACGTCACAGCCATCGCACGGGGCGCCCACGATAGACGAGCATGTCCCACTACTCTCAGGTCGGGCATACTTACTGACTACCTACCAGACCACCCCAACCCAACCCGAAGACCCGAATTTCGGGTTGGGGGGGGCAAGGGTTCCATACGTGTTTTTTCGATGGTTCCCGACCCCCCCCCAACTGGAAATCGAGGGTAAATTTGAGCCTTCGGGTTGGGTTGGGGTGGTTTGGTGGGTGGTGAACTCTCAGGTCGGGCATACTTACGCAGGCCGAAAGATGTTCCTCTTGAGCCCTACACGTCGGAAGTGGCGCGACGATTCCCCCTGTGTTCTCCCCCACCTCCTCTTGCCTCTTCCCTGATCTCTCCCCTCTTCATCCTGGGAAGACCCCCCTCCCCCGTAGAATCATAGCATTGGTATGCAGATCCACAGCTCCGTGGATAGCATGATGCTTCACTTGCGGTGCTCCGCGGATCCCACTCCCCCTGGGTCCCGGATGTTAGGTATAATGATGATGATGATGATTATTACTATCATTGTATATACATATATATACATATATATATGTATATATTCCAGGGAAATAAATGGATCCATCGTTTTTCACACACACACACAGGACATTGGACCCGAGCAACACAGAAATAAGATCCACGAAACTCTCCCACACCCGAAAAAGGGATGCAATTGGATCCATTGATGTTCTCATATCTTTAATCCAAGAGGGAAACAAATTCGGCCTGGGGATGTATCCTCCTACAGGGGGATTTTGAAGGTAAGTAAACAATCGCTAAACAAGGCTCTCAAAAAATCAAAAATAGTCAAAAAATCGTCCCCAGACTATTTCTTTACTATTTTTGAGTCTTCCTCCCGTGGAGGGACAGGCCCGACTCAACACTACTCGCAAAGCAGCTGCTCGCAAATGGCCTAGATCCGCTGCGGGGGATCTACGAGAAATTAAACCGAAGCAGACATGTGTTTTTCGGACGTTTGCGAGTACAGTGAGGGCGCGGCCGCAAGAAACCCTCGCAAGAAACCCAACCCTGAAAACCCGCGCGCGAGGTGCGCCTGAGGGGAATCCGGGAGCGCCCTTCACTCAGCAGCTTCTTCAACGACTGTAGGAAGTCACCGCGCAGCGGGCGGAGCGAAGAATCCCAGGATACCCTGACGAAAAGCACTTGTTTCTTGATGCGCGCCCCCACTGTAGGCACTCTGCGAGTAGTGAAACGCGCTCGGTGACACGAGGCGCCCCTCACGGCTGGGCACCGACCGGACTCTCGAGTTCCCCGCGGGCGCCCAGGGCGCCCACGAGGCGCCAACTGCCGGGGCACCCGCCGCAAACCCAGAGCCTGGCCCGACGGAGGGATGAGCGGCGCCATCAGCATAAACTCTGGAGGTCTGCTAGGAGTTCTTGGGAGGAGACGCTGAAGCCCCCTTCCTCGCGCTCGGAGTCGGAGCGCGCCAGAGACGCCTCCAAGGGAGGGGGGGGGGCTTGCGCAGATCCGACAAGCCTGCGCGGACCTCCGAACAGAGTATGTCTGCGCCGCTTGCCCTCCTTCGAAACGAGCGTCGGCCGCAACGTCTTGCTGGAGAGAGGCCTGGAAGAAGACTCGTGGCTCTTGGGGCTTTGGGTCAAGACCATGTGCCCACGCTCGCGCCGGGCGCGCCCGAGGACCTGGGAGACGGCCGGCGCGGGCTCACTTGCCCATGCGCACGACCCTCGCGATCCGAGTGATGCGTTCCCGCATGGCCTGGAGGGGGGGGGCAGGAGAGGAAAGGAGGGAAAGAAGGAGAAGAGGAAAAGGAGGAGGAGAAAGGAAGGAACGGGAGGAGGAGGAGAAGAGGAAAAGGAGGAGGAAGAAACGAGGGGCAGAAGGGAAGGGGGGAGAAGACGGAAAGGGAGGAGGAGCGAGGACGGGGACGAGGGCCTGGTCAATGGGAGGGCCCTTCCCGTTCTCGTGCATCTCCAGGTGCTTGACTATCTGCATGGCGCGGTACCAGCCGATGCCAGAGTTACGCTTCAGCTCCATCCGCAAGTTCTTCTTCGGGTCCAGGAGCATGCCCTTGCCGGGTGGGCCGGAGCTTCAGGGAAGAGGGCGGGAGAAGGGCTCCCCACGCCCCCGGTGCAGCCACCACTCGTCCTGGCTCGTGCTCCAGGGCTTCCGGGGCGACTTGGAGGGTTCGCGAGCACACGCGCTTTGCCGCAGGACCTCTCGGGCAGACCGTCGAAGAGAGGTAAACCCACGACGGGGGGGCACGTGTCGGGCACCACTCAAGGGGCCCAAGGACACACAAATAAATACACGCAAATAAAAAAGATTCCCCATATGTTCCCCATATTTCCTGGATTTCTGTCTTCCCCCCTACTTCCCATATTTCCCAATATTTTCTGGGGAAGCGAGGATTAATTGTGTCTGTGTGTGTTTTTGTTCCCTCCTGAACCACTGCCATCGAACGCGCATCAGAAACAATCTCCCCACAACGTCGCCACAACGGCGTGCGTCGAGCCCAGGCTGCCGGTTTTGCGATGGAACCGAGGCGTCGGCACGGACTCTCTGGCAGGGCGGGGCGAAAGCGAACCTCTTCCGCTAAAAGCTAGGCGGGCTACGCACAGCTCTCGGGGATGGACAGACCTCCCTTCAGTCAAACGTGGTTTAGTGAAAACGACCTCGGGCCCAAACCTGGCGGGCGCGAGCCTGGAAAATGACGGCCGCGGCGCCCTCTCGAGAACCGAAAACGGACAATTCACTAATCGACGTGTCAGAGTTGGAGGTCTGTCCGCCCCCGACTATCCCCCCCTTTCGTCAGGCCCGACAGTATACAGTCGACCCGTATTGGGACGCACAAGGACACACACTAGTACTATCTATTCTCCTCAGAGGCGCGCGTCCGACCCCAGCGTTTGGTGCATCGATCTTGCAGTTTTACTTTTCCTGAGCGGTGTCACTGTTGGGAGGTCTGTCCACCCCCGAAGCTTTCATTAGGGAGACAGGGCAAAGGAAGGCGGGGCCTCGTGGCGGCCGGAGCGGGCGGAGCCCGGGGCCGCAGGCGGGGCCGCAGGCGGGGCCGCAGAGCCTGCACAGGAGAAGGCATACGCCGCGGACAGGGGCCTGGACGGTTTCCCCCGGGGCCGTAGGCGACCCGAGGAGGGAAGGGCGAGAAGGGGGAGGAGGAGGAGGAGGAGGAGGAGGAGGAGGAGGAGGACAACAGGAGGATGAGGAGGAGGAGGAGGAGGGGGAGGAGGAGGAAGAGGGCGAGGATGAGGAGGAGGAGGAGGAGGAGGAGGAGGAGGAGGAGGAGGAGGAGGGAGTAGGACGGGTCGCCAAAGCCCTTCGAAGAAACCCTCCACAAGGACCGGAGGCGAAGACCCGGAGGGCGAGCGATGTGGTGTTACCGTCAACGGCACGTCGCGATACGTCGGCACGAACAGGTGTACGACAAACAACATCGGCTTCCGAGTTCACCCCATGCAGCAAGGTACGACAACAATTCTGGCTTGGGGGGGTCAGGAAAATCAGTGTGCATGTCCCAAATCGTATTGGATGTTGCCTCCCGCGCGGCACCATCCGCAACAAAATACACCCCGATCACCCCACGGTTAAACAGTCGAAACATGCATCATGTTAAGGAAGGGGTGGGTTTCGCACTGTCAACAAGTGGTCCATGTGCGCGACTCCTGAGTCTTAGAGGCAACACACCTACAGCAAATCTTCTGTACATATCGCGCGCATGAATGCTTTGGCGACAGCCGCTATCCCAGTGGGATCAACACTGGACCAATCAAATTCATCGAACATGGCGATGCGGCCAGACTCTGTCAGGGACAAGTCGAACGACTTCTTCGCGCGACCGACTAATGCCTCGATAGCATCTTTCGACAGCGCGTTGGTGATATCAGCGTCCAGCCCGTAACCGTTCTGCTGAGCTGCGTTTTCAAGCCCAGCCTCTATGTCGTCTGGACTTGTTCCTCCGGACAGCATCTTGATCACACCCTCATACAAGCCCCTCATGATCTCTCTCGGCAAATCACCCGCCACCTCTGTGGCTTTCGCCTTCGCGGCGTTCTTCGCCGCCTGGCCAACCAGTCCAACCACTGCTTTGGCCACTGCCTTGCCCAGACTCTGCTTGATGGCCTTCCTGATCGACTCAGCGATGTCAAAAGCTCCGTCGGCGGGGATAGCGTCCGGTGGCAACTCATGGGAGCCTCCCATACAACCTTGTCGGCTTTTGCGAATCGGCGCTAATCGACGCTATCGACGCAAATCGACGCTAAATCGACGCTAAATCGACGATAGATCGGCGCAGTCCAATCGACTCCAAACGCTTATAGACGCGAATCGACGGAGTTACGAGGGCACACCAGGCCCCCATGATTGAAGGGTCCCTGGGACGCACAAGTAAATAGACACAAATAACAGGGCTCTTGTCCCCCCCCCACTTCTGATACTTTCCCACATCTCCTGTGGAATCGACGATGGATGGTGCCTGGGTATCTTTCCCTCCTGAACACGGGGCCCCTATGATTTGCCGCCGGAGATGGCAGCCTGCACCTGGCCCCACACGTTGCCGAGGCAGCTGGCCTGGTCCACTGCACAGCCCAGCGCGCACTGCACCCAGCCCGGAGGGCAGGCCGCCCAGCACACGGGCCCCACGCCGTGGTAGCCGGGGCGGCAGCGCGGGTAGCACAATGCTCGGGGGCGCCGAAGACACGGGCCGGCAGGAGTCGGAGGAGGAAAAAGGTACTTACCCATGCCTCTGCCCTTCGCCCGGTTTCCCCATGCGGCGGTGGGCAAACCTCCCTTTAGTAAACCTCCCTCTAGTGAAAACGGCCTGGGACCGAAACCGACGGACCTGGACCCGCAAAAGTGACGGCCGCGACGCCCTCTTGCGAACCGAAAGCGGCCGATTCACTAATCGACGTGGCAGGGTAGGAGGTCTGTCCATCCCCGAGAAAAGGTACTTACCCATGCCTCTACCCTTCGCCTGGTCTCCAAAGCTTGGGGCCTGCTGGGAGGCCCCCCGTTGTCACCGCTGGATTCGCCTCGAAATTCTGGTCAGAACGCACCCGAGGAGTGGTCCGGGGAGTAGCGGTTTGGGTACGTTTTGGTCTCCCCAAGAGGGTCAGGAGGCAACTCTTTGGAGGTCTTCGCAAAGATGGAGAAAAGATCTTCGGCTAGCTTAAGGGGCCATGAGGACAGATCGGCCCAGATGAAGCCTAGGCTTGGACCAGATGAAGCGGGAACAGGCGGGAGTCAGCGAAATCAGGTGGACATCTGCCAGATTGTGCTGGACATCGACCACGGATACAGTCAACCCGTATCATAAGGATGCGCGGTAAGGATGCAAGGGCCTTGCCTTGGATGGCCATTTCGAAGCTTCTCGAGCGGGGCGCGGCCGGCGAAAGTGGCCAGCGGCGACAGACCGAGGAGGCAAGGATGCAAGGGTACTCTGGGTTTCTAAATAAGCGTGGGGGGGTACCCCCCGACGGGGGTCAATCTCGCCTCGCCGTCGCGCCGCGACGGGGGTCGGAGCCCCCTTCGGCGCGCGGTGGCTGCCCGCGACGGCGGTCGATGTGGGGCTGTTGGTGGGGGCGGCGCCCCCCAGACGCTTAGCAAGAAGCTCGGAGCACCCTTGGGGAAGGCTGCCCATCCTCGCTATGCGGGTTGACTGTATTTGAAGGGGCCCTAGGAGACACAAACAAATACACACACACACACACAAATAACAGGATTCCCTATATATAGATTTCCCCATATTTTCTGGATTCTTGTCTTCCCCCCCCTTCCATAGTTTCTGGGGAATCGACGATGAATTGTGTCTGTGCGCATTTTTCCCCCACCTGATGTCTTTCGGCGCCGATTTGGGCGCCCGAGTTATTCAGGGTAACTCGGGTCCGGGGTAACGCGGGTTTGGATTCCCGAAAAAGGAACCTGAGTTAGCCCTGACCCGAGTTACCCCTGATGATTCGAGGCTCTGGACGCCCGAGTTATCCGGGGTAACTCGGGTCCGGGGTAACGCGGGCTTGGATTCCCGAAAAACGAACCCGAGTTAGCCCTGACCCGAGTTACCCCTGATGATTCGGGTCTCTGACCGATGCCGAACTCAAACTCCTGAGAGCTGCATCCCTTGAAGCGGGCGCGGGGAGGGGGGCACGGCTCGTGGCTGGAGAGGCACCTTGCGCAGACGAACGAGAGGGCCGAGAGACGCGCGGCGCGAAGAGGGGGCCACGAGAGCGGGGAGATCCCGCAGCCACAGCCAAGGGATCCACCCAGGCACGGTATTTTGGCGGCGCGCACAAGGGGGTGGGGGGAGGGGGGAGGGCTTCTTAGAAGCAGGCTGCTTCTTAGAAGGCGCCGGCCTTACATCTATAGATAAGGCCCGCGCCTTCTAAGAAGCAGGGGTGCTTCTAAGAAGTTCTCCCCCCTCCCCCCAGCCCCCCCTGCGCGTGGCTGAGTATTGCAGGCCTCCTAGATGGGATCGCAGCAGATGGGGTCGGAGGATCTCGCCGCATCGCCGATGCATCGGCGATGCATCAGCGATGCATCGGCGATGCGCCGGCGATGCAGCGGACGTCAGCGATGCATCGGCGACTTCAGCGTGGGGAAACACGGGCTCCACATCGAGCCGCATCGCCGATGCATCGGCAATGCGGCGCGAGCCTTCGACCCCATCTACTCCGAACCCCATCTAGGAGGCCTAGAAGTATCGGGCTGGGCGAAAGGGGGGGATAGCAAAGGGGGGGTTGAGAATCAACTCACGTATAGCTGACTTTCCCGGCGCCTCCCGGCGCCGGAGGCGGCCACGTCTCGAGGAATGGGCTTGGCGGCGGGACCGAAGCCAGCCGCATGCAGCAGATGTCGTACCTCCCCCTTTCCCTATCTCGGGGATGGACAGACCCCCATTTAGTAAAACGTGGTTTAGTGAAAACGACCTGAGGCCAAAACCTGGCGGGCGCAAGCCTGGAAAATAACGGCCGCGGCGCCCTCTCGAGAACCGAAAACGGACAATTCACTAATCGACGTGTCACTGTTGGGGGTTCTGTCCGCCCCCGACTATCCCCCCCTTTCGTCCGGCCCGACAGTACTACAGTCGACCCGTAGTGGGACGCACAAGGACACACACTAGTACTATCTGTTCTCCTCAGAGGCGCGCGTCCGACCCCAGCGTTTGGTGCATCGATCTGACAGTTTTACTTTTCCTGAGCGGTGTGGCCAGGAAGCGCACGCCACGACGCATATACTGTAAGATGTCTCGGTGCGCGCGAAGCCCCTGGATGATGGGCGCACGCACAGTATTGATGTGATGGGGTGACGTCGACGTACCATCAAGACGCACGATAACGATGCAAGGGCCTTGGAAGGCCAATTCGAAGCTCTTCGAACGGAGCGCGGCCAGCGAAAATGACAAAGGATGGACCGAGGAGACAAGATTGCAAGGGCACCCTTTGGAAGGTCGCCCATCCTTGCAGGGTGGGTGGACTGGAACCCTCGCCCCCCTCCTCTTCGGCGTCCCCGGACTGCTCCATTCTGCTCTTCCTCTGGAGGACACGACAGGATGGTGCCGACAATGTCTTTGCCCTGGTAGCACAGGCCGGCCACAAGTCTGCCGCCCCCCTTGCAGTGGGAGAGCACCTTGCCGACTCCCCTGCCATAAGAGGCCATCCAACAGAACTTGTCCGGGTCGCTTGGGAGATACTGCTCCTGAAGCTCGCGGGTCAAGAACCCGATCAGCTTCAACACCGGGAAAGTGCCGGCAGAATCCGAAACCTCGGTGTTCCCGTCCAAGAAAGATGAGGACCCAACCGGAATCGACGAATTGGTGGTCACTGGATCAACGTGGAGGTCCATCTCATCTGGTGTAGGGCGTGCACCCATTGCGCCACAAAACAATAGGGTGAAAAATACGAGCATTGCTTCAGGCCTGCGCATGAGGTCCGGCAAAAGAATTACGCACTCAATATCCGCCACCATGCCGTACGTTGGCATTGAGTGGATCGTCCTCAAAACCCCGACTCCACATGTGAAGTATTCCGGGGACCTCCTGGGCCTTCGTCGCATGACTTTTCCCCAGGCCCAGGGGCGTGTTTGAAAATCCGAAGGTTCACCATGTTGTAGGACTTACGCTAGGGCCCATGGGGTCAAACCTGGGCCTCTGCTGGATGTCTCCTGGATGTCGTGGGGGGCTGCCGAGAAAGCCCATGCCATTGGACAAAAACATGTTCTCGCACGGTGATGACATACTCGCCTGCTATCTCGGGCCGAAGAAAATCCGAGATGGCACGAGAGACCCCCGAGACCCGCCCTTGTCAAGGCGGCGCTCGACACGGCGAACCCACAGGGGACACGGGGGCCTTTCCACCCCAACGTGGCCCCCAGACTGCGCGCAGGCCCCAACGACGCCCCCCCGATGCCCCCCAAAAGCCTCCAGGAGGGAGGCCTCAAAGGCTCCGGAGAGGCTCCTGAGAGAGCCCCTAAAGGCCTCCGCGCAAGCCAAGAGAGGCCTCCGCACCCTAGCACAGCGGCGGGGTTGGCCGGAGGCCAACCGATTACTCAACCAACGACCTCGTGGGATCCACCTAATCCGTGAAGCGAACTCGCGTGGACTTCGCGTCAAATCACACCGTGCACGGCTCGAGCCACACGGGCACGGATGCTCGGCTCAAGCACGCGCAAACCTGGGTCAACACAAACCCCGGGTCGGCTTGAGCCCGGTTGCACAACCTGGCCGGCCGCTGAGTACCTCGCAAACATGGGTCCGCGGAGGGCGGAGTGGGGGAATCAGCCCCCCATGGTTTCCAAGCCCAGGTCAGCCAAGGGGTACTGGCAGACCCCTGTTAGCGCTGACCACCGGTGCTAGAGGCCTCCTCGATGGGGTCGGGGTATGGGGTCGGAGGATCTCGCCGCATCGCCGATGCATCGGCGATGCATCGCCGATACATCGCCGATGCATTGGCGACGTTAGCGATGCCTGGGCGACGCTCGGCGCAGAGAAAATCGGGCCTCCACATCGAGTCGCGTCGACGATGGGTTGGCGATGCGGCGAGACTATTTGACCCCCCATCTGCTTGGATCCCAACATGAAACCCGATCTGGGGGAACCACGAAGTACCGATAACTGCCGCTACTCCCCGGAACCCTTCCGGGGGTGCGCTCTGACCGGGATCTCGAGGCGCATCGGCGGCAACGAGGGCAAGGGTCTTGCCATTGCTCGGGCACCCATTCCCCGTCCATTTGCAGGTTTCGTGCGCTGTTCTGTTCTTTTACATGTACAGTCTCGGCAAGATGATCCAGAGCCAGGCTTCCGCATCGGGGCGAGCGTAGGGCCTGAAATCGGCTGGCCCGCAGAGGGGCGGGGCTGTCGCCGTGAGCAGGCTCGCCTGCTGTTGGCAGGCTCGGCTGCCAGCAAGGACAGTCGTCAGCGTGCCGAACACCATTGAAGCTCGCACATGCCGTACTGGATCTTCTTATGCACTGGTGTTGCGACACCAGTGCTCTGCCAATTCACAGTCAGTGCGCATCCTCATCTGCACATACTAGTTCAAACATCGCACATGCTCAACATGATGCACCTGGAAATGCTCTCTGACCTTTCGATCTTCAAGTGACCACCGTGGTCCTTGGGTGACCTGTAGGAGAGCAGCTTCCTTGCACCTGAAGCATAGCGCACTGCATCTGAGGCGCACGAGGCTCCTTCCAATCCGTGCCTTGATGCGCCTAAACTGAAGAGAATGGAAAGAGCTTGCAAAAGGAACCGGCCATCATATTGTCAAATTGGGCTGGCACTGATATGGTCGGCAAGCGAGGATTTAACTAGAATTGCTTGTCCACACGCTTGTGTGGCCAAGCCACCAAGGTCAATACCATTACAACAAGCCCCTTCGTCCATTTCACCCGTCTCTATATCCTCGCCCCTACCCCCCAGCGGGGTGGGTGCAGCGAACGAGAGAGTGGCCAACGGGGTCGTATAGAAGAGCGTAATCATGAGTTGTCGTCGAAGCGTAGGCCCCCGACAGTCTGGACGTAGAGAGCAGAACATCCACCGTCGTAATGAACACCCTGAACAGAGCAGGGCTGTCCTGGAAACGCCCAGGGCCGGTTTGTCAACGCCAATTATCGGGGTCCGGGTGATTCCCCCCCCCCTTGACGACGGGCTCTGACAGTCCCGCTTCGAGCGAGAAACACGACGGGAGGTCTCTGGCCGTTGCCGGCCTCTTTGTGGCCTCGCCAGGCCCGGAGCCGTTGAACAACGGCGCAGGATGAAGACAGCATGGCAAACGTACCCACCTAGCTTTCGACAACCCTCGCTTCCGAACGGGGGCCAGGCGATTCCAATATACTCGTGGAGTGGCCAGCGACAAGCTGTTTGACAAATGCGGCGCGTGGCATGGCTTTATTTTGCTTGAAAACGAAAGCGGGGGAGAGTAAGTCACCCTTCCAGAAAAGCAATTCCGTGGGAAAAGCTCCAAACCTCTGGGGAGCCTCGCTGTGACACAATCACAACGTCGGATGTCTTGGTCTGTGGGCGTGTCCAAGAGGTCGCCGTTGTATACATCCTGGGGGAAAACACACAACACAACATATCCCTGTTTTCCGTCGTAACCGTTACTCTTTCCGCAACGTTGCTCTCCAATGGTCTCAGACCTCTTCGGGGAAATTCACGTTATCCTCCTCCTCCCCTTGCTCCTCCCGCTCCTTTTCACAATCCTTCTCCGCGCACTGCTCCTGCTCGGCCTCAGCCTCCTGCCACTCCCGACGCGGTGTTCCGATGGAAACTCCCCCCCCTCCAGGCATGCTCCTGTGACGTTCCCTGCGGCATCCGCGCAAGTCAGAACATCGTCAAGGCTTCCCCCTTCTCGGCGGTCGGTGGAACGGCGGAATGGCGCAAGCCCCTACGATTGCAGAAGATGGCGGTTCAGAACCACATCGATGGACGATCAACCAATTCGTTTCCTGCCGCTGGGGAACATTTGAAAAACATTGGAAAAAAAGACAACGCCGACGACGCACACAAACAAGCATGGAACCTGGTGGATCAACCATCGCCCAGGACGTTGCGGTGTGCCGGGCCTCCGCGGTATCTTCTACTCGCAGTGCTACATGATAAAGTAGGAGGGTGCATATTGAGGGCAGGGGGTGGACGCAACTGATAGGCATAGCTGTGGCAGTATAGCCTGTTGCCCCTGGAGTGCATGTTCGATGCAGCGTGGCCCTCTGTCGTTGGATGGGCAATGCCACACGGCAGCGGTGGAACGGAGGGATGGGCGGGCAGGGAGGGGGATGCACAGGGGGGGGGGGGGGGGAACCGGGGGAACGGGGGAGGGGAGGAAGACGGGGAAGGGCCCAAGGAACCACGAGGGGCGGAAGACGAGGGGAAGAAGACGAGGGGAAAACGAGGAGGGAGGAAGGCGAGGAGGATGCACAGGGGGGGGGGGGGGAACGGGGGAGGAGGGAGGAAGGACGGGGGGGGAAAGGCCCAAGGAACCGTGGAGCCGTGGAGCACAGAGAGGCGAGCCCCGCGCGGGAGGACCGCCCTGCGAACAAAAAAAAACACGGCCCCCTCTCGCAGCACGGGCCGCCCTCCGCGGGAAGGGAGGGAGCGCGAGGAGGGCAGGGCAGGGGAGCGCAGCGGAGAGGAGAGAGAGAGAGAGAGAGAGAGAGAGAGAGAGAGAGGGAGAGGAAGGGGCCCTGGGACACGCAAACGAATACGTACACAGAGATAGCAGGATTCCCCCTCTTTTCCCGTATGTCCTGGGTGTTTGTCATCCTCCCAACTTCCCATAGTTTCCCATGTGTTCCTGGGAGTCGACGAATCATTGTGTCTGTGTGTTGTTTCCCCTCATGGAGAGAGAGAGAGAGAGAGAGAGGGAGAGAGAGGGGGGGAAACAACAACTATGAGGAAGAGGAGGATGAGTGGGGTCGAAAAGGGGGGAAGGGAGGAAACCTGGGGAAGGAGACAACGGCCTGGAGTCGGCGATACATTGGCCGATGTATCAGCGACGGGCCCCACACGGCAAGCCCTTTGCGGGTTGTTTAACCCAGGCCTCGATAATAGATGAATGGACGACCGGAGGTCGCTATTCCCCCTCCCCCCAAGGCAAGCGCCTCCCTGGCGCTGCCCCTGCAAGGGGTACACGTCGTTCATTTCTAATCGTGCTCATTTCTAATCGTGCTCATTTCTAATTGTTCCTGGCCCCCTAGTGGCCAGGACGAGGCCCAGGAAAGAACAATTAGGAATGAAATGATCTTGGCCTCAAGAAAATCAAAGAACTTTCGAAGAATTAGACATGAACAATGTGTAGGCGGAGGAGTGGGAGGAGCAGCACGATGAGGACACCGACAGTCACTCCGTGGACAGGGGAGGCGAGCACGGAGGGAGGGGGCGAACGGGGGGAGAAAGAGGGGGGCCAAGAGGCAGGAGGAGACACGAAGAGGTCGAGCATCGAGGGGGACAACCACGGAAGAAACAGCACGGGCCCAGGCATGCGATGTCCGGACTCTTCCCCGGAGGTCCCCACCCATTGCCCCGGGGCCGGTGCTCCAGTCGGAGTCGTCTTTTGATAGCCCCGGGGCCCAGCAGGGGCCCCCAGACGCCGAGCATCGATTGAGACACACCTGCGTCCCCAAATTGGTCAGGACGCTGCATCAATGGGAAGAGGATGTCAGAATTGAGCAGGGACCGACCGTCCCGGCATTCCTGTAGGCCTACCACGAAATTTTCTCAGAACCCAAGAACGTTCTTGGAACGTAAACCCGATGTGTTAAACCAAGACTGTCCCAGCCAGACATGTTCCAAGAACATGCCGTGCAGACCACAAGCGGCTCTCAGAACACTCCTTGGTGGGCCTATGGGCAAGCCAAGACGCTGCCTCACTGCTCGACAAATTCAGACCGCGAGCGCACCCGGCTTGCCGCCGCCCGATCGTCCCCCGCCCTTCGGCCTTCTCCTCGGCCGCCCGGCGGGCCCGCTCGGCGGCCTTGCGCGCCGCCTTCTTGGACTCCCTGGCGCGGCACCGTGGGGGGAGATCGCTTGTCTCGTTCAATTGTATGTGTGTGTGTGTGTGCGTGTGTGCGTGTGTGCGTGTGTGCGTGTGTGTGTGTGTGTGTGTGTGTGTGCGTGCGTGCGTGCGTGCGTGTGTGTGTGTGTGTGTGTATGTGTGTGTGTGTGTGTTCTTCCCCCTCCTGCAGATGGTGCAACAATCCCTCCGAACAGTGCCACAAGGGGGGTCACCGCATGCAGAGTGAGCCGCCAACCTCTCTGGGAAGCGGGCCTCCTTGAAGCCGCCAGAAACCCGCAGGACCCCCGGGACTCCCAAGGACGCCAAGGGACGTCCAGACCTCCTCGATCCTCGACCCTCCCTCACCGTTGATCCTCCATTTCCCAGGAGGCGGTGGCGACACCCCCACGGGTGCTTCACCTCGGCGCTGCCGGGCCACCAATTCAGAGCTCCCCCTCCACCCCGGAGAATCCCTTCGGGCCTCGGCACTCGACAATCCAGGACACTGCAAGCCAGGACTTTGAAGAGCCCACCTGGAGAGAACGAAGCAGGGAACATTCGGGGGGGGGCAGCCACAGATCAAGGACGCACGCCGCCGCGGGGGTGCCCACCAGCGTGCACCTGCCGACGGGGCGCCATGCCCGCGGACCAAAGCGGGGAGGAGCACCGCGCTGAGTGGCCTCCAACGGCAGCGTGTCGTTGGTGCGCTCTCCCTCCCTTCCGACTGTTTTTGTTTGTTTCTCTCCCTCCCGAAGAATTTGGGCGCCCGAATTATCCGGGATAGCTCGGGCCCGGGGCAAGTCGGGTTCAGATTTCCGAAAAAGGAACCCGAGTTAGCCCTGACCCGAATTAGCCCTGATGATGTGGGGCTCTGGACGCCCGAATTATCCGGGGTAACTCGGGCCCGGGGCAACTCGGGTTCGGATTCCCGAACAACGAACCCGAGTTAGCCCTGACCCGAGTTAGCCCTGATGTTTCGGGGCTCTGGACGCCCGAATTATCCGGGGTAACTCGGGCCCAGGGCAACTCGGGTTCGGATTCCCGAACAACGAACCCGAGTTAGCCCTGGCCCGAGTTACTCCTGATGATTCGGGGCTCTGAAATGCTTCGACCCGCGTCTACGACGTGTGGGGCGCTCCAGCGTGACGACTGCTCCTCGGAGCTTCCCCCCGAGGCGGCCGAGCGCTGCTTTGGGCGGCATGGCCGCGCGGGAGCCCCCCGCGAGAGGCATCCCGCGCCGCGCCCTTCCCTCGAGGCGTGGCTCTCCCCGGAGACCTTCTTGGGGTGGGCTCGATGAGCTCAGCGCGTCGGCTGGTCGGAGGAGGAGGAGGAGGAGGAGGAGGAGGAGGAGGAGGAGGAGGAGGAGGAGGAGGAGGAGGAGGGGGGGAGGAGGAGGAGGGGGAGGAGGAGGAGGAGGAGGAGGAGGAGGAGGAGGAGGAGGAGGAGGAGGAGCTGCCCAACATGCGCGACGCTGGAACGCCTAATACACCGAGCACCTTCGCCAAGTTCCCGGGCTCCCCGGCCGACTCCACGTGCTGTGCACGCCGAGCCCCTCCGGGGGCCTGGACGCCTTCCGGGGGATGGGCTTTTCTCATCCTGAAACACTTCTCGCCAGCCCCGAGGCCCGGCGAGGCCCCCCCCCCGGGAGTCGATGCGCTTTGAGCCAATTTTTTTTGGATTCGGGCAAGTTTACTTGCATGGCGTTCGCCCCCCCCCCCCCCCCCCCCCCCCCCCCCCCCCCCCCCCCCTCGCCCCTCTTCAAGCGAATACTAGCGTGCACGTGCCTTTCGACTTGCGTGAGTCCCGCGCCCCCCGAACGTGCAAGTCGTTTGCGGCTTGCTTCAGGCTCAGCCCCCCCCCGTCCATGCAAGTAAACTTGCCAGAGTCGAAAAAAACAGGCTCTTTCTGAAACAGCACTCTCTTTTTTTTTTTTCTCTCTCTCTCTCTCTCTCTTCCTCTCTGTCTCTCTCTGTCTGTCTGTCTGTCTCTCTCTCTCTCTTGTTTCCCCCCCTCTATCTAAACTCTGTCCCTGTCTCTGTCACTGTCTCTCTCTATCTTTCTCTCCCGTTCTCGTTTTCTTTCTCTTTCTCTCGTTCTCTCTTTCTCTCATTCTCCCTTCCTCTCATTCTCTCTTTCTCTCTGTCTCCCCCTTTGTACGTCCCACCAGCCCTCTGGGCGTAGGTGGTCTAACAATTTGTTGCTTGCCTGTTCCACCACCCCCTTCCTCCCCTTCGGGGAGGGCGTGACTGGAGTGTCAAGGGTTCCTGTTGCGCCCAAGATGGCTCCACGAAGGCCTCCGGTGCTCCGAAATGGCCGCCAAAATGATGTAATATAGCCGAAGATGGTCCAACTAATGCTGCTTTCCTAGGGGCTCCAACTTCTAGGTAGGGTCGCACTGGGGTAAGTTCCATCTTTTCCGAATGTTCGTATTCCCCCACACTTCCCCGAGTGTCCCATAATTTCCAGGGAGGATCAACGGTGAAATGTGTCTGCGTGTTCTTCCCACATCCTGAGTGGGATATGTTTTCCTCTGCGCACCCCACGCGGCAGGAACTCTCCACCCCCTATCTTCCTCACCATCTCAATAATAATAATAATCATCAGTATCATCATCATCATCATCATCATCATCATCATCATCATCATCATCATCATCATCATCATCATCATCATCATCATCATCATCATCATCATCATCAGCATCAGCATCAGCATCAGCATCAACATCATCATCAGCATCACCATCATCATCACCACCAACATCATCATCATCACCATCATCATGATCGTCATCGTCAGACTCCACACAACGATATCACCATTGCCAGTATCGTCATCATAACATTCACAATCAAGATGACCACCACCGTAATCACTTTCGTCAACCCCACCATCATCACCATAACCGTATTCGTCGCCATCGTCATCAATCAATCACCACTCATCATCATCACCTGTCCCATCATTGCCATCGGTCATCATCACAATCGTGAGCACAAGCGGGGGAAATCGTGAGGATGCTTCAAGCGGGAGCCTCGTTTGTGAGTGAACGGCGAGGAGGTGTCAGGCGGGGGGGCCCTTCCCTGTGGGGCCCACACCTCGTGTTGGCAATCCGAGCGGGTCCTCGGGATCATCCGCCTGCCATCTCACTTTGACGGGGCCCTGGGGCACACACATAAATACACACGAATAAAAGGACTCCCTATATTTTCTCACATCTGCTGGGTTGTTTGTTCCCCCCCCACTTCCCATAGTTTCCCATCTTGTCCTGGGGATCGACGATTCATGGTGTCTGTGTTTTTTTGTTCCCCCTCCTGACACTTGGCCACCCCCAAAGGGGGCCTCGTTTGTGAGTGAATCACAGGAGGAGGAGGAGGAGGGAGGAGGAGGAGGAGGAGGAGGAGGAGGAGGAGGAGGAGGATGTATCAAACGGGGGCCTCGTTTGTGAGCGAATCGCGAAGAGGTCCTCTCAGGCGGGAGCCCCCCCCCGAGAGGCCCGCATATTTTATGTCGGCACTCCGAGCGGGTCAACGGGATCGCTTGCCAAGCACAGCACTTGACCACCCCAATCGGGGCATATCGTGAAAATGTGTCAAGCAGAGGGCCTCGTGCGTGAGTGATTTTCGACGAGCGCGTTCCGCTACTCGCACAGTGACTGCTCGCAAGTGGCCCGGATCCCTCGCGGGCATCTACGATACATTACATCAGAGCAAACAGGTGCTTTTCGGACGTTTGCAAAAGGTTCTTGGCGAGTAGTGGCACGCGCTCGGTGAGATGTGGAGGAAATCTCCAGCGGGCCCTCCTCCCTCATGCGGCCCGCACTTGACGTTGGTAATCCGAACGGCTCATCGGAAGCATGCGCCAGGCATAGCACTTAAGCACCCAACGGGGGGCCAATCGTGACGATGTCTCGAGCGGGGGACTCGTTTGTGAGTGAACTGCGAGGAAATCTCCGGCGGGATCCCCTTCCCGCAGTGGCCCACATTCCGTGCTGGCAATCCGCCAAGGTTATCGGGATCGCCTACCAGGCATAGCACTTGACCACCCGCGGGGGCAAATCGTGAGGTTGTCTGGAGCGGGGGCCTCGCTCGTGAGCGGATTGTGGGGACATCTCGCGCGGGCGTCCTCCCCCCTATGTGGCCCGCGCTTCACGCTGGTAGTCCGAGTGGCACGACACTGGAACACATATGGTGACGATGCTTCACGCGGGGGCCTCGTTCGTGAGTGAATTGCGAAGAGGTCTCAAGCGGGAGCCCCCCATTCATCATGCGGCCCGCACCTGCCGCTGGTAGTCCGAGCGGGTCTTTGGAACCACCCACCAGGCGAAGCACCTGAACGCCGCAAAGGTCAGGGGGACGTAAGACCTGGGTACAGGGGACTCGGAAATCCCAGACGAGGTCGTCAAAAACATGACGAGGCCGAGCCTGCATTTTGACGAGGCCTCCCGCTGCAGACATCCCACGAAACTTCTCCTCGTCAGAATCCGAGGCGCGGTCGTCAGAAAACGATGGCGAACCCGAGTCCTGGCAAACCCAGGTCTTACGCTCCCCCGAAAGTGGGCAAATGCTACGCGTCGGATTGAGCACCCCGAAGCGCCATGTGAGCATCCGTCGGGGCCGCGCGCCGATCGGGGTATTCACCCTGACGCGCGCGCTCTGCCGGACCCGACGTCCACACCGTCGCACGGTCAAACGCTGCGCAGGGGCGTCACTATCGACTGCGCCAGGGACGAAGACGTTGGTCGAATGAATGGGCACGTCGGACGAACAGTGGTGGCTACATACCTTACGTCATGCTTCCACGCGCCACGCGCATGCGGAACATGCCGATATTGCGGCCGCCCGCGCGGAGAGCTCCTGGAGCTCGGGCCGGCAGCGTTCTGGCGGAAGGCGCCCGGGGAATTCGACACAAAACCGGTGAGCTCCAGGGCCGAAGCGGAGCATCCCGCGGAAGAATTTCGCTTCGCGCTGCCCCCCGCCGGAGCGCGGCCGCGCCTATAGTTCGGGACCTGCGGTGTTGTCCCAGCGGCTTGCTCCCGCGACCCAGCGGGTCGCGGGGTTGTCCCAACGGCTTGGCCCGCGGGGTTGCCCCATCGGCTTCGCGAGCCGGCAATCGGAAGACGCGCCCCTTCTGGACGTGGCGGCAATGGCGCCGAGGAGAAACCGACGCGCGTGGCCAGGCCAGCAAGAGGGACAGGTGCATGAGGTGAGCGGGCGGGATGAAGATGAGGAATAGGAGAAGGAGGAGAAGGAGGAGGATGAGGAGGGGGATGAGGATGAGGATGAGGAGGAGGAGGAGGGGAAACAAAGACGAGGAGGAGCAGGAGAAGACATGAAACGGAACGAGGAGGACGAAAAGGAGGAGCGGACAGACGACGAGGAGGAAAAAGGGGACGTACGTAGATTTTGGCGCGGGGTCCTACCGTCGGAATAATTCGCGGTTGCCTCAAACAAAACCGCATCCGCGGAAGTCTGGGTTCGCGGCGACCTGCCCGCCCCAAGCGTCGTCAAATTCAGCCCCCGCACCCGTCCCGGGACCCGTGCCGACCCTCTAGAAATAATGCCGACCTCGACCCCGAGTTTCGGGAAGCGTCCGAATGGACCGACCTATTGGCGCCCGACCCTGAGATATACGAGGGGGGGGCGCGCATCCTCGACATGGGGTGAGTCCGAATAATTCCACACCATTTCTGAAAAAAGGCTTCGTTTTCCATCGAAAAGTCGGGGGCTGGGGGGAGGGGGGGATCGCCTGCGACGTGTTTCGGTGGCCGTGTCGCGAAACCGCTGGGGCAACCCCGTGGGCCAGGTCGCTGGGACAATCCCGCGAGACGCTGGGTCGCGGGAGCAAGCCGCTGGGACAACCTCGTAGGTCCCGAACCATAGTCGCGGCCGCGCTACGGCAGGAAGCATAGGCCCATGCTTCCAGGAGGCCCACGAGGGACCAACAACGCGGGGGTGCAGGAGGAGGAGGAGGAGGCGGAGGAGGAAGAGGAAGAGGAGGAGGAGGAGGAGGAGGAGGAGGAGGAGGAGGAGGAGGAGGAGGAGGAGGAGGGGGAGGAAGAGGAGAGGAGAGGAGGAGAGAGGAGGGAGGGAGGGAGGAGGAGGAGGAGGAAGAGGAGGAGGAGGTAGGAGGAGGAGGAGGAGGAGGAGGAGGAGGAGGAGGAGGAGGAGGAGGAGGAGGAGGTAGGAGGAGGAGGAGGAGGAGGAGGAGGAGGAGGAGGAGGAGGAGGAGGAGGAGGAGGAGGAGGAGGAGGAGGAGGTAGGAGGAGGAGGAGGAGGAGGTAGGAGGAGGAGGAGGAGGAGAGGAGGAGGAGGAGGAGGAGGAGGAGGAGGAGGAGGAGGTAGGAGGAGGAGGAGGAGGAGGAGGAGGAGGAGGAGGAGGAGGAGGAGGAGGAGGAGGAGGAGGAGGAGGAGGCCCCCAGGGGTGCAGTGCGCGCCCCCTGCCCTCGGACCCCTCGGCAGCTCGCCGGGGCGCTGCTGCAGCGGCCGCCGCCCCCCCTCCCCGCGGCGCGCATCCGAGCGCGCCGCGGCGGCGCTCTCCCCCGTCGGCCACGTCGCTCTCGGAGGGCCCTCGACGCCTCCTCGGGCGGCCCTGTCGCTCTGGCGGGCCGCGACGTCGCCTCCTCGGGCGGCCACGTCGCTCTCGCAGGGGCCCTGGTGCCCCCCCCCCTCGCCTCCTCCCTCCTCCCCTCCTCCTCCTCCCCCCTCCTCCTTCTCCTCCTTCTCCTCCTCCTCCTCCTCCTCCACCTCCTCCTCCCCTGTTCTCCGCGGCGACCTGTAGGCCCTGCTGGTCTTGATGCCGTACGGCGTCATGGGGTACGGCGCGAACGTGCTCTGCTGCGCTGGCGGCCCGGGCTTCCTCGGGGGGGGGCGCCAGCACGGGCTCCACGGCAGCGGCGAGGGCGGCAATGAGCGCCGCCCCCAAGGGCCCCCTTCCGAGAGGGAGGCGCCGTTGTCGCCGCCACGTTCTGGGAGGGAAAGAGACGACGTCGAGCGGGTGAGGAGGAGGAGGGGGAGGAGGAGGAGGAGGAGGAGGAGGAGGAGGAGGAGGAGGAGGAGGAGGAGGAGGAGGAGGAGGAGGAGGAGGACTCTTTGACTCTTTGATAGCGGACGCTGTCCTGGGGGGCGATTTAATCACTGGAATCGCTTTCCTCCCCAGTCCGTTCGGGCTGGGGTTCCTGGGCCTGGCCAGGCCTGGAGGGAGCCGCGGGGACCATCCCCGCTCCCGTCTGGGCCCCCGAAGGCCCAGCAGCCTGGCCAGCCAGGTCGGATCCTGGGTTTTCCGACTGCGGACGTCTGAGCAATGCCGCCACGTCCGCGCAGGCGGCTGCTTCACGAGCCCTGATGGCCTCTAAAATAGCCCTCGGGGGGCCTTCACGACGCGGGAACAAACCTTTGCTAATCCTCGCAAGGTTCTCCGAACCCTTGTTGGTCCGCCCGTCACACCTGGCAACTAAATTCCTGGGGTCCACGGTGCAATAGGTACCGCACTCCGTGCAAATGTGCAGGAACCATTTCTCCACATACTGGAGCTTGTGAGAGGGGTGAACATTTTCCAGCAGGCCGCTCCCTCGAACCGAGGGGGCAAACCTTTCTCCGACTGCGGCCTGGGCACCTCTCCTGACTTCGGCAGGCGGCCCTGAACAATTCGTGGCCGCAAAGCCCCGCGTTTGGTAGCGGGGCACCACTCTCTCACAGACCGTGCACCACCAGTATTTCATGCTGCGCCCACATGGCTCGAGGATGTGGTCCGAGGCCTGTGCCGCGGCCACCAACTTGGACGGTCTATCCACCTTCTTCAAAGGGGGTCTCTCCGCCCTGTTGTTTTCCTCGGCCTCCGCTGCGCACACTAGGGCTCTTCTGGCCCTTCGACGAATCGAGGAGGAGGGGGAGGAGGGGGAGGGGGAGGAGGGGGAGGAGGGGGAGGAGGAGGGGGAGGAGGGGGAGGAGGAGGAGAGGGAGGCAGAGGAGGAGGAGGGAAGTACGCCTTCCTCCGCGCTGGCCTCTCTGGAGCTCTCGACCCGGGTCGGCCGTGGTCCTCGGCCGTGGTCCTGGACTTCCTGGGGTCCTCTCGCCGTGGTCGCGCCACGACTGCCGCCCGCGAGGCGCCCTTCCTGCCGGACGGCGCCGCGCGGCCGTCCCCGCGGACGCCGCGGGCGCTCAAAAGGAGCGCTCCGCAGCCTGCGCGGAGGAGAAGAGGACCAACTTTTCACCAGCCTGGAACCTATCCCTGTCCCTATGCTGGGCACCTCATCACCATGCCAATCTTAGGGGTTCCCTTATTGTTTGCGGGCGAATCCCTAAGATTGTCATCGCCTTTTGGCGTGTCAATCTTAGGGATAGGGATACTCCAGATTTCGTAATAAAAGGGAGGGGGTCTCATTTCGGGGGGGGTCTCTCCCAGGCTATCTTGGAGGGCCTGGGGGGGTCTGGAGACGATGTTTTGGAGGGTTCTCCCACGGGGGGGGGTCTGAAATGGCTTGTCTTGGAGGGTCCAGACCCCCTCCCTTTTATTACGAAATCTGGAGTACGTTCGAGGCTCGTTAAACGCTGGCTCGGGCGGGCGACGGCCGGGGGAGGCGCAGAAGAGGGCGGCGACCGCGCGGCGGGGCGCGGAGGGCGAGGCCCACGACGCAGAGGGGGCGGGCGCCGGGCGAGGAGGCGGAGAGGCGGAGGGCCCCACGGAGCGGGCCCTCGGCGGCCCTCTCGGAGGCCCTCGCGGGCGACGGGGCCTTCTGCGGTTTCGTCGTCGTCGTCGTCGTCGTCGTCGTCGTGGTCGTCGTGGTCGTGGTCGTGGTCGTGGTCGTGGTCGTGGTCGTGTTCGTGGCCGTGGTGGTGGTCATGGTCGTTGTCGTGGTCGTCGTCATCGTCGTCGTCGTGGCAGAGGCGGATACTGTGGGCGGGGAGGCGGGCGGGAAGCTTCTGCGGAGGCGCTCGCCCCCGGGGGGCCCTCGGCGGGCCTTCGGGGGCCGTGGGCGGAGAAGACGGTTCGGGGCGAGAAGTGGGATTGGAAATGAGAGTGGAAAGTGGAAATTCGCGAAGCGGAATACGTGCATCAAGCAGAGATAGGGCATCTGGCTCGTCTCTCCGACAACGACAAAACCTTTGGCCAGAGCCCACCTTCGATCCAGTTCGAATATGCTTGTCGCGGTTTAGTGGGTTCGACGAGCGCATTCACTAGCTAAGCTCGTAACTTGCGACAGAAGCAAACGAGGCATCAGGCCTGAAACCTCCCGCCCTCCCTCCTTCTGCTCGTGGGGGCTTGGGTGTACGACGCACAGGGATAATGAAGGGCGACGCCAACACCACCAGGGGAAGGACAGGCGAGGAGCAAAGGGGTGGTCTCACTGGTGGTGCGTTCCCCCCTTTCGCTCGAGAAATCCACAGACTCCAGCTAGGGGAGGCATCGTGGACCTCCTCGCAGGAGGCGGCCCCTGGAGGTGTTGGTGTGCCTTATCCCCATCCGACGCAAGAGACGATGATAGTACAGCCGGACCTGGAGCAGAAGAACATCCTTCAAAAACATTCGACCCGCAACCGGCCTACAGAGACATAGCATCCAAGGGTACTCTCCCCAGGATGCACAAACACATCCAACAAACACGTAGAACAGTAGGGTAACCTGCCCGAACGGACCTCGATCTTATACCTCGGTCCGGCTGTACTGAAGCGCCCTCTTTTGAGGCGTACGAGTTTTTAGAATGTGCAGAAGCCTCGACACTCAGAGGTTGGCGGCGCGCGAAGGGGGGTAATGGGGCAGGGCGGAAGGTTTCTCATGAGGCTGTTTTTGGGAAGGCGCCGGAAGCAGGGGTGTTTCTGAGAAGCCTTCCCCCCTGCTCTGCGCGTGGTTGGATACGGCACGACCATCGCACAATCCCACCAGCACTCTGGGCGTAGGTGGTTTAGGGTGTTTTCTCTTCCGCAACCTTCTCCCACTTGTATCACTGTTCCCTATTCGTGAACACCCTCTCCCCCAAGCGACCGGTAGCCAACCCAGAACCATGCGGCCACCCCCCCACCATCCATTGTTACAAGAACCATGCAAAACACACTTTGCCATAGCAACGGCACCCCCTGCGCCGCGCGGCGCAGGGGTGGGCCCCACGCCACGCCCGAGCGCAGCAGCGGGGTGCGGCGCAGGAGCGCCAGAGCAGCGCCGCGCCGCCCCGCTGCGCGCCACACCCATCGTTGGGGTGTGACAGCGCTCGACGGACAGGATGACGCTCCTTGAGCGCCAGGATGGCACCAGATAGGGGGCCCCTGGGCATTTGTGATGGCGCACGGCGCGCGCGTTGTGCAGAGGCGCGAATGCCAGGGGGGGGCCCGCCGCGAGTGCACTGCGCGGCGCCTGGCGCGGTCACGCGCGCGCCGCGCTGGGAGGCGGAGGACAGCGCCACGAAAAATGCGGCGCCTCCGTCGGGCACGCGGGGCGCGGGGCCCACCCCTGCGCCGCGCGGCGCAGGGGGTGCCGTTGCTCTCCCCGTGGCCAGCCAAGCCTCTCTCTTGCGCTGCGCTTGGGTGTCGCGCGGGGGTTCCCGTTCCTTTTCCGCGACGCCGCGCGCCCGCGCGCGCGTGCGGTCGCGCGTCGTCTGTCGGGCGTCGCCACGCCCGAGCGCAGCAGCGGGGTGCGGCGCAGGAGCGCCAGAGCAGCGCCGCGCCGCCCCGCTGCGCGCCACGCCCATCGTCGGGGTGTGACAACGCTCGACGGACAGGATGGCGCTCCGTGAGCGTCGGCGAACCACGATTCCAGCCCGCGAAGAATCTGCGCCCTTTCACACCGCGCCTCCTCGAGGGGGCGCTGACAATTCTAATCGACTGCACTAGTGCAATCCGAAAGCAAATTGACCCGCTCCGAACGCGCCCACGCGGGATCAGCCGCGTCGCGCGTGAATAGCAAATAAGGATGTGCCTCGCGACGGCGGCGCGGCGCGGCGCGGGCGCGAGAGGCGCGCCGTGCGGGCGGCGCCTTTGCCGCGCCGGCGTAACTCAGGCCCTCGAGGGCCGTCGCGCGCGCCAGCCAGCCGGGCCCATCCTGCGCGTCGTCGGCGGGCGCGGACGCGACGCGGCGCCGGCGGCGCGACGCGGCGAAACTGGTCGCCGAACGATCGATCGAATTTCGTGCAGCACCGCGAGATGGGGAAGCCCACCCACCTGCGAGCGAACGCGCGAAGGAGTTAGGCGCGCGCGCCGCGCGCGACCAGCGGCGCGCGCGCGCCGCCTCGCTTGCCCCGCTCGAGGAGGGCACTCCTGCCGGCACCTCCCGCGGCGCGCCGAGCGCGCGACGCGAACGGGCGCGAGTGCGCGCGAACGCGTGCAGGCCTGACTTCAGCGGTCGTCCGCCCAGCGGCCGGCGGCGGCGGACGACTTGCCGCCGCGCTCGCCGCGGCGCGGGCGCTTCCCGCCACCGCGCCCCCAGCCGTTGCCGACCCAGCCCTTGCGCTTCGAGCCCGCGCCCTCCGCCGCTGCGGCAGGGGCCGCGGGGCCCTTGCTGCCGCCCTTGGGCCCGCCGCGCGGGGGCGTCGTGGGGCGCCGCGGAGGAGGCGCTGAGGGCTCTTCGCGGTCGTGCAGCTATTCGGCAGTCCGGCGAATCTCGTCGCAGCACCGCCTCGCAAGCCTGACGCTGCGCGCCGCGCCGCGGCGCGCGATCGCGGCGCCGGCGCCGCGCGCGCGCCGCGTTGACGTCGACATCTGTCTCGCCGGACCGGGCCCGCCCCTGCCAACTCTTACGCGCCACTTCGTCGTAGACGAGCCCGAGCTGCACGCGGCGCCCCCCCGCCCGCGCGGATCGCGAAGCCCGCGGCGCGGCGCGAGGGGGGAAAGACCGGGCGGCTGCGCTTTGAAAGCGACGCGCGTCGCCAC